TTTGAGGCTTGAACACTAATGAACGAAGGCCAGATGAGTTGTGGGAGGATATCAAGTGTATCACCCAGGAAGAGTGCAAACGGTCATTGCAAAGACAGAAGAGGAAGAAAAGGCCAAAATGGATGTCAGAGAAGACTGATTTATTATAATAGTTTAAAAAATCTATTAACTCTTTTGTGCATTCATGAGGCATCAAGTATGGTGGTTAACAAGCATCTTCTGCCTTAAAAAGGGGTCTCTAAAGCCCAAAAGCATAAAGTTCCTAAGAGACAATCTGGGATCATAGGAAGTCTCAAGTCTCAGTGACACACTAGGCCCTCAAGGCTTGTAGGAGCAGAAGTGGAACTCTGAAGGTGGGCCCAGGACGGAACCTCTGACTCTGCACAGGAGGAAGGGGAAGTGGTTCACTGTGACACCATGGGATTGCCCTGAGCAGCCATCAGTGCCACAGCAGCTACACACATGGCCTGGCGCTGGGTAGAGTGGACTCTGCACTCGTGTGCTAAATCCACTCCCACAGCACTGAAGAGTGTCCCCTCAAGCCAAGATCTCAGTGGTTCCAGAATCTGCATCTCTGGCCACTACTCTTTGAAAAAACTTCTCAACTGTATTTCTCAAAATTGTTCCATTTAAAACCCCTGTGAAGAATGAAGATTATGTGCCAAGAATAGAAGATGCTGAAGGGTAGAGGAATGTGTCCAGGGTCTCTAAGTTAGTGACAAAGCCAGAATGAAAATGCAGGATGGTCGATCCAACCCATGATCTTTTCATTTTTTTTAAGCTGCTCTAAAGTCTAAATAAAATTCAATGCTGTCAAGTCAGAACTGACTCATAACTAACTGTCCAATAGGTTTTAAGAGGCTAAAAATCACAGAGGAAGAGAATACCCATAATTCTCCCTTAGAGCAGTGAGTGGATTCAAATCGCCTACCTTTGAGTGGGCAGCAGAACTCCTTACCCACTAGGCCACCAGAGACTGCAAGGTCTAAATAAGCCTTCTAGAAAGAGACTTAAAATTGTTTCCTAAACAACAGGGTAAAAGAAAAGGCTAAAACTCAGTAGACTTTTGGGGGGAAACTGCTCCCTTTGCAATAATGTAATACTTTCCAAATTTAGTCTTACCCATAAATAGCCACCTCAATCTCAAGAATCCTGATATTTAGAATATTAGATGAGAAAAATAGTGAACTGGAACTGGTGAGCTCGAGCAAAAGCTTTGCAGACACAAAGACCTGGGATTGGATCAAACTTGGCCACTTACTAACTAGGTGATCTTGAGCAGGTCATTTTCTCCGATGTAAAATATTACTACCCACCTCTTTAAAGTGCTAAAGAGAAAGGATGTCAGTTTAAAGACTAAGGTGCACCTGAGCCACACCATGGTATTTCAATTGCTTAAGCAATGAATATCAAAGTTTAACAATGAATAGGGATGACTGAAGAACTGATATCTTTGAATTATAGTGTTGCCAGAGCAGTGAATACTCCAAGGACTGTCAAAAGAACAAACACATCTGTATTAGAGAAAGTGTAATCAGGGTGCTCCTTAGAGGTTAAGAACAGTGAAGCTTTGTCTTACATATTTTGGTCATGTTGTCAGAGGCACTAGTTCTTGGAAAAAGACATCATCATAGGAAAAGCAGAGGGCCAGAGAAGGAAAGGAAGATCCTCAAGGAGACGTACTGACTTGGTGAACAATGGGCTTGAGCATGGTGGAGACCCTGAGGATCACACAGGCCAGGGGGCAGTTTCAACTTGTTGTCCACAGAGTTGTTATGAGTAGTAGTGACTCAATGGCACCTAACTACAGCTTTAGTGGAGGTCAAGCATTTGGCACATAATGTTCTGAAGCCATTGAGTCGGAACTCACTCTTAGCTAACCTTCCTAAGTAGCACAAATGGTTTGTTCTCAGTAACTAACCCAACTAACCCATAGGATGATGGTTCAAACCTACACATGGGTCTGGTATAAGAAAACTCAGTGATGCTTCTATAAAGATTATGTTGTTATGGGTCGGAACCTATAGGTGGCCCTCCAGTGGGTTTTCAGAAGTACTAAATTGCATGGGAGGAGATCACCCATACTTCTTCCATGGAAGAGCTAAGGGATTCAAATTATGTACCTTGAAAGTGGCAGCATAGCTCCTTACCACTAGGCCACCAGAGCTCCCTATAAAGTTTGTTGTTGTTGTTGTTGTATAGCCAGAACCAACACATAGCTGACCCTCTGGCAGGTTTTCAGACATAGTTAATTGCACAGGAGGAGTTTGCCCATCCTTCTCCCACAGAGCAGCTGGTGGATTTGAATCTCGTGCCTTTGGGATTGCAGTGCAGCTTCTTACCACTAGGCTACCAGCCACGAAAAACCCAAGGAGCAATTCTACTCTGTCATACATGGGGCTGCAAAAAGTTGGAATCAACTGCGTGGCAATGTTTTTACGACTTTTTAGGTAGTAAAAACTGTTGTTTCCCTCTAAACCTCCCCTTATATCACAATTCACTGTAGGTCTCACAAGGGGCACAAACCAAAACATCTCACAGAGGCAGCACAAAACAAAACATCTCTGCTTTTAAAGTTTTCCCTTGAGAATGACAATGATCTGAATGCAATGCCTTATGGTGGGGAGGGGAGAAATCTTAAAAGGAGCATTTGTTCTTTCACAACCTGCTGTAACTGATATCTTCCTGCACAAAATAAAACAATAAACAAAATTTAAAAAACCCACAATAAAATTTTAAAAAAACACACAATAAATAGAATTATTCCACCCATCATAAGGCTTCAAGTGTCAGATAGTTAAAACCAGCAAAGGCGCACAAGTCCTAATCTACTTCCACTGAGCCTTGAACTCTGCTTCCTGCAATGCATGCCCCTCACCAGGAGCCCCTTCTGACTCTTGTCTTAGCCTGAGGGGTTTATTTGCTCTTCTCTGCCTTAACTGAGGCACATCCCTTCATTAACTTGTCTCACCCTCCCCTCATGCAATTTCCCGGGCTCATGGCATCCTGTCCACTCTGAGGACAACTCACCTGGCCGCAGGTACACAGCAACCTCCTGCGGCGTCATCTGAATGACATCTGAGCCGGAGGAGCCAGAGCCCTTGCTGCTAAGAGGCTGGTTCCTCAAGACATGAGTGCTGCTGGCTGGGCTCTCGATCTCGTCCTCACATCCATTTTTGAGGAGGTTTTCCCTCAGGTCACACCGGGAGGTGACTGACCGCAGGCTGCTAAAGTCCTGTGCAGGGAAACAGAGAAAGCACAATGCAGTCAGGGCCTCTGCTCAGGAGAACGCTCTCAGGCTGTAGACTCAGCACCATCTGGTTGACCTTAAACCCATCACAGTTACATTTTCTGTGTTCTGAAAATGGCTGAAATGATAATCCCTAGCTCTAATGCTTCTCCAAGTATTACGAGCACTCACTGAGACCCTGGTTATGAAAGCACTTTATAGAGCGTGAACACCTAATAAAAATGTTTGTTTTCATGGCTTTTTTAATAGTCAAATGATCCTAAAATACAAATGCTCCTAACTGCTGACAAGAATAGTAGGGGAAAGTAATTGAAACAATCCAACACTGTTTCAAGTAAAATCTCTAAACATTATAAAAGTGGCTCACTCAGACAATTGAGAGTTAACTTTTGAGCTGCTTTTGCAGGCACAAGGCATGGCACCAGGATTCTAGAGAACAATGTGGAAGCTCAAATGAGACCCTTTGACCTAGTGGTCTATTCCTGGGAATTTATCACAATAATAAAAACAAAGGAGAAATTCTCTAAGAAGATACTTATTGTTGTTTAGTGCAATCAAGTCGAATGGAACTCATAGCAAGCCCACTTGACAGCGTAGAACCACCTTGCAGAGTGGCATGATGTGGGCCATTGAGTCAGAAGTGGCCCATAGCTGACCGTCCTGTGGGTTTTCAGAGGCAGTGAATCTCATGGGAGAAGACTGCTCACCCTTCCCCCACTGAGCAGCTGGTGGATTCCAACCAAGTGCCTTTGGGATTGCAGCACAGCTTCTTACCAGTAGGCCAGCAGATCTCCCTATAGGGTGACTAATAGTGATAAGGAATTATGCTGTGAACTCAAAGGTATATGGTTCAAGTCCACCAACTGCTCTGTGGGAGAAAGATGGAAATCTTCTCCTATGTGATTTACTGCCTCTCAAAACCCACTGGTGGGTCAGCCTTAAGTTGATTCTGACTTGGCAGTACTCAACAATAACAATCTTTATGAAAATAGATTTCCAGGATTTCTCCCAAAACGCTGATGGGTGGGTGTGAGCCATCAGCTTTTCAGCTTAGTTGTTTCTATCAGTGCTTCTTAAGAAGATATGTACTATGCACGCCCATGTTTCTCGTGGCTTTGTTCATGATAGCAAGGAGCTGGAAACAACCTAAGTGCCCATCAACAAACGAATGGATAGAGAAGCTGTGGTATAGTCACACAATGGAATACTACGCTGCATTGAAAAACAAGGAACTCATGGAATATTATTCAAAATGGGTGACCATGGAGGACATTATGCTGAGTGAAGTATCTCAGTCACAAAGGGACAAATACTGCATAGTGCCACAGTTGTAAAACAGGACTGACATCAGTGTTGGAGAGAGACTGAGAAAGATGGGATAAAGTATACTGCATTGAAACAGATGAGGGAGAAAACTGTTTAAAAGGGATATGTTATTAGGTATTTTGTCATGACAGGAGTCCAGAGTGAAGGCTGCATAGTGGAGTGGACCTGAGGGGAGGGACTGTAAAACAATGGGGGAACTTTTCCAAGAGGGTAGTGTACTGAGGGGAAGGGGGTACAGGGAGAAAAGTGCAACAATGAATGAATGGAAATCCAAAGTCTCTGTAAATTTTCATTAAAATTAATTAAAAAAATGATAAAAAAAGAATATATGTACTAAGGAGCATAGGGTCACTCACGCTCACTGCACAATGAAAATGTGGAAACAGCCTACATGCTCATGATTGGATGAGTGGATCAACAAGATGTGACACACGGATACAAATGCATATTGCTCAGAAAGAGAAATGAAGTCATAATATATGCTACAACAGGGACAGAGCTGGAGAACAGTATGCTGACTGAAATTAGCTATTCATAAAACGTCATTTATAAGGTAAATTATTTGTAAGACCTCATTTAAATAAAAAGATAAAACAGGAAAATGTTTAGAGTTCAAAATTTGCTAGTGGTTACCCAGGACAGAAAGCAAAAAGGCACTGCATACAGAGCACTGACTTTTCATTTAAGATGATGGAAAAGTTTACTGATTAAGAGTAGGGTTGGAATGGACAGAAAACCTCATAAGCAGTTCCTTATTTCACCTCTACCTTGCATGAGAACTTCCGAGTTGTAAAACAACCCAGTGGTAGATGGATTTGCTCCAGGACTTAAGAAGCATAAATGACATAGCTGAGCCTCTACATCTTGTGGTTCCTAACCTCTACACTATAATAGACAAAGTGTTAGTCTATACGCCTTTTATTGTAACTTTTATTGTAACCTTCCCTCTGTAACTTGATTTGTGCCACTATTAGAACCTCTACT